TACAAATGGAATAATATCCCAGAGAGGAAGATGGGCAAAACATTTTCAGTTTCCTAACTTATTTCTTTCTCACATTACATTGACTCCTAAATTATAATAATATTAATGCCCCAGTTCTGATGAAGGGTCGTGGACCCAAACGTTGACTCACTTTCCTTTCTCCATAGATGCTGCTTGACCTGCTGAGTGTTCCCAGCAACTTCTGTTTTTGTTTCAGATTTCCAGCATCTGCAGTATTCTGCATTTTGATAATAATAATTATGCTGGTTTGCATACCATTAGTGTATCACAACATATATTTAATATAGCGCCACGCTATCTTTTATTTATTTTTTAAATAATCTGATATATAAATCCATTGGGGGAAAAAAAAATAGATCCAGCTGCAAATACTGAAAGTAAGCATTCCAGGGATGCCTTTAGTATAAAACTCTTAGATTGTGGCAGAAATTATAACGTGCAGCTGGGCTCAGCTTTAACTTATCTGAATACTAGCTTGACATTTTAACTAATCTATGTATAGCAGTCAATTTAATAAAGAGTGGACACTTTTTCTTACTATAATTGAGTACAAATGGATCTCTACTTCAGGGCTGAAATGCCTGAACCCAAGGTTTTATGATAAGGTAGCATCTGAATCACTAAGGGAGAAAGTAGACAAGGTTTTGACACTCCTAATGCTCTTTTCTGCTATCTCTTTGCTTCTAATTCTCACTATATTCTACTCTTGCACACATGTACTTGATGATCTACTCTGAGGCTCCGCTTGCCTCCTCTATGTCTCTGCATCATCTTCAAAAGGCTACAAGCCTTCCCAGACCACTCAAATCTCTGATTTCAATGATGCTTCTAATTAGGCGCTGCTGAGTGAAGACAGTGAAGTCTAGGTACTTTCAGTGCCTTTCCAACATGTTACATGTGTCAATGGGATCTAATTTGTAATACAGTTTTTCTTAACAGAATTCATTAATTCTCCTGTTAGAATTATAGCCAACTGGAAATAGGAATGGAATTCCCATGGGTTGATGAGACATGCTTTCAGTTAAGAAAAGAAATCTTCATTTGGGTGACTTTAATTCCTATTAAAGAATCCTGTTAAGAAATATAACAAATTAGAATCATATGTGTGTTAGACTCTCTCTGGTGTGCCCTGATCAAATTGCAACGTTTCTTCCTCAACCAGGTATCAAGTGAGAAATCGAAAACATGTGACTGTAAGGCTACCGCTAGGTTCTTGTACTCTACAGCTTCTATTTCCAATAGTCATATTAGGACAATTTCAGAGCATAAGGGCAGATGGAACAGCTCAGACCCAGCTGAGTTCCTTCAACTGGTCACATTGTTAGCTTGAAGCCTCCTGATTTCACGAAGGTGAAAGAGAGAGGTGTTGGGGGGCACTTGTTGGCAGATGTTGTTATCACTCCCAGTATTTGGGTGCCATGAAACATGCCAGCACCCAGTGGAGCTCTGGGTTAGGTCAGATGGTTCTTTAACTCTTTCTGAACTGAGGTTTCTTCTTTCAAATTCTAGGCTATATTTACTTTGATAGATCTGCATAACCTCTAGTATTAGGACATTGATAACTGAGTATTGTACAGCAGGTCTTCACAACCTTGCATTTATTTTATAAAACGTTTATAATCTGCTATACTACTTGTCTTTACTTTTGATGTAAAAGTGAAAGGCCTCAAAGGGTTTGGCTGAAATCAAATCCCTTTTCAATGACTAAATCTTTTTTGACTGAATGTTGTGAATTTGAGCATGATTCATACATCTTTTACACATCGTCTAATTAACAGATGCTACAGATGACCTTGCCCATGGATAGTGAAGACTGTTCCTACTTTGGAAACGACCTGTTGGAATGCAGCCATATCTATAAAGAAGCTGTCATTCTCCAGGAATAGGGTTGGCAGAGGGCAGTCTGTCCTCGACAAAAATTGTGAGGTGTGATATAGATTCCATTAAAAGGATAAAATAATACAAATATTGGGGAGGGAAACACCATGTAATAAATAATAATAATAATCCTTACATTTGGTATAATGCCTTTCATGTGGGAGGGGAGGACATCCAAAGTGCAGTGACTGTACCATTATTTTGATAGCATTCCTATTATAGTTCCACAGGTTTCAGGTTTTTTTCAAGTATTGCCTTTGGGTTGGATTGCCTTCTCTCCCTGAATGGATGAATGGGACCCATCCACTTTCTGCCAATTTATTCAGAATTAGGTCTATTAAATACTATTGACCCGCCCCTGGAACCTGAAACATTTGATTTGTATTAAAGTGGAACCACAGTTGGGTATCCATGGGTAAGGTTACCTGTAGCATCTGGTAATTAGATGATGTGTAAAAGATGTATGAATCATGCTCAGATTCCGTCCATCATCACTCCTATCCTTAAAAAATCCCTCCCTGGACTTATCCCTGCTCTCAAACTACCACCCAATCTCCAACCACCCTTTCTTTCCCAAAGTCCTGGAACGAGTTGTTGCTTCCCAGCTTCCCTCCTTCCTCTGCCACCACTCCCTTCACAAATCGGGTTTCCATGCTGCCAACAGCACAGAAATAGCTTTGGTCAAAGTGACAAATGACAATCTGTTCATCGGTGACCAGGGCTCCCTCCGCCTTCTCATCCTCCTTGACCTCTCTGCTGGCTTCAATACTGTTGACCACTCTATCCTCCTCCACCGCCTCTCCTCTCACCTCAAGCTTCATGGTTCTGGCCTTGTTGCATGGTTCAGAGCGTACCTCTCACACTGTCTCCACTTCATTTCCACAAACGGTTTCTCCTCTAGCCCTCACACAGTCTTGTGTGGTGTTCCTCGGGGCTCTGCCCTTGGTCCCCTCCTTTTCAATATCTATATCTCTTGGTGACATTAGCCACAGGGTCAACTTCCACATGTATGTGGATGACACCCAACTCTACCTCTCTGCCTCCACCCTCGGCTCCAGGACCAATGATGTGCTGACAGAATGTCTGTCAGAAATGAAGTCCTTGATGAGAGCTATGTTGCTTCAATTGATCGTCAACAAGACTGAGGACCTCCTGATTGGCTCCCATCAGTGCCTCCACATCTCAGGCGCTGACAGCATCACCATCCAAGGATATACACTCCACCTTACTGAGCCAGTCCGGAACCTTGACGTCTCGTTTGACCCTCAACTATCCTTTCCACCCCTCATCCATGCCATATCCCGATCTGCCTTCCCCCACCTCAGCAACATCGCCCGGCTCTGCCATGGTCTCACACTGCAGGCTGCCGAAACCTTCATTCACGCATTCATAACATCCAGGCTTGACTATGCAAACTCACTGCTTATCGGCCTCCCCAACTCTTCCCTCCATAGGCTGCAGATCATCCAGAACTTTGCAGTCCCTGTCCTCTCCCGCATCAGGTTCCGTGACCCTATCAACCACATCCTCACCCGACTCCACTGGTTTCTTATTATATAGAGACTGCAGTTCAAGATCCTGGTCCTCACCTTCAAAGCCCTCTATGGCTTTGCTCCCGCCTAGCACTGTGACCTCCTAACCCCCTATCAACCTGCCCGCTCCCTCCACTTAACGGGCTCCGGCCTGCTTCACATCCTCCTCCTCGCCCGCCCCACCATTGGCAGGCCGGCCTTAAGCCACTCTGTCCCCATCCTCTGGATCTCCATCCCATGGTCCCTCCACCTCGTCTCCTTCAAGAACCATCTCAAGACCTTCCTTTTTGACTGTGCCTTTGTCCATCCTCCTTCCCCCCCTTCCCTCCACCCTCCCCGATCAGGAACCCGAGCTCGGGTCCGAAACACTGACTGTCCAGCATTTTGGGACATCCTCCCAAATGTGAAAGGCGCTAGACAAATGTAATTTTGTTGTTGTTATCGTTGTTGTTCTACATTGGTGTTGTGTGACTTTCTCTGTCAGGTGGTATTATTCCCAAGTCGAACTGTTTTGCAGCCAGCTTGAATAAGAAACAAAGCTTTAAAACTCTCTCCTAAGCGGACTGAAAGCTTTATAGTTGATTTGAAAGTTTACTGTGAAATGTTTTACCGTAGTACTCTTATTACAATGTTCAATTGGTTGACTTTCACATGAGTGAGAGACTTTACTTTAAAGACTAAACTTTCTTAAAGTGCAATCAGATTGTCTCGAGGATCTCCTGTGATTCTATCAATGTATGTTTGCAGATCTTGTAAATTACTTTCCTGCCTTCAATATCCATTTCTAACCTGTTGTTTAGGTTCCTGTTTGAAAAAGAATAGATTGAGGCTGTACATGTGTGTCTGTGAATGCTGAAATATCATCTCTAGGCAAAGGAAATTTAATCGACCCTCAGCAACCATCATTCACTTCACTTTTCTTTCATTGCTGTATTCCTGTTATGATACTTGTTGCCAAGACAGTGAACTTATTGCTAACTCCAGCAGAGATCTGAATCATGTCAAATGCAAGTAAGAGGAAGAGGAATAAATAGTGATAGTGGAAAATAAAGATTTCAAGAAACCTGCAACAAATTGTGTGTTCTATTTCCAATGTCATTTGCATTACCCTGTGTGCTTTTCTCATTTTATTTGAATATTTTGAAAGATTTCCATTGTATTCCCCTTTTGCTTTTCTTTCAATGGACCAGTCACAAGGAAGGAGGGAGTGCGTTGAATGTATATGAGTAATGCTCACTTTTCTCTTTTAAATCTCAAGCTTATTGTGTGGGTTGAAAAAGGAAAGTGGCATACTGTCTTCTGTGAAATTCAAAGCCATTATTATTTTACTGCTGGTCTGTAGTGAAATACTGTCCATAATCGAAACCAATTTAATGCATGGACCTGCAAGCAAAATGTCCTTCATAAAATGTAGTTAATTGGTGTGAATTGATCAGCCTTGCTGGAGATCAGCAGGAGAGTGTCTCTTTGCTGTCAGCTGACTTTTCAGCATCACTTCACGCAGCCTTTCTCCTAACACGAAATCAGTCGATAGCAGGGGAATTAACTTTCTTCTATTTAATTCAATAGGTCCCTCCAACACTGGGGTGCATTCGTGCACTGATGAAGATGATGTATTGTCCCTACTGCCGCGGCCTGCCCACTGTGAAGCCCTGCAACAACTACTGTCTCAATGTAATGAAGGGCTGCCTGGCCAATCAGGCTGATCTGGACACAGAGTGGAATCTTTTTATTGGTAAGAAAGAACAATTTAGTATTTAGAAGAATCGTGAAAAATAAATTGTTGGGACTTCAAAGTTCTGGAATGCATTGTTGCAAATCAACTTTGTTCTTCCCTACTCAAGCCCCTCCATTCCAGATTTCGCACTGCCTACACTCAGAGACGGAGCTCATCAAAGTCACAAATGATGTCTGTCTTCTCTCTTTGTGATCAGGGCTCCTTTGTCCTCCGGACCTCTCCACTGTGTTTAACAATGTTGATTATGTCACTCACCTCAGTGTAACCATACTTACATGATTCAAGTCCTACTTAATAACTGCCATCACTTTGTCTCTAAAAATGATTTTTCCTCCCACCCTCACCTGGTAATCTGCAGGGTACCCCAAGGCTCCATTCTTGGCCCTTTTCATTTCCTTATTTACATGCTCCTTCTTGGTGATATCATCCACAGACATGGGGTCAACTTCCACATGTATGTCGGTGACACCCAAATCTCCAGGAGAGTATGTTTAAACTGCCAACTGGACTGATTCCTCCAAAACTCTGACTGTGCATTTTCAGGCTTGCATGTGTTACAAAAGTGCCAGTGTTTCAAAGCACTACTGTACATATAAATATCCTATAATACTGGAAAGCTATTGGAGTGACTAGTACAAGGCTGGTGCCCACAAGGAAATGGATCAGTCATGAAATGAAGTTAGTGGAGACAGCAAAATGGTTAGAGAGTGAAAGCAGCTAACATTAATGTGTCGCTCTGGGCTTCTATTAGCATTATTTTGCTCAGCAATCATTCGCCTGCTTCAGATCCCTTGTCTGAACCAGCCCACCATTGGTGCCCCACTCTTTGGAACTCCCTCCACCGTGCACCCTCCTTTGCACATCAATCCATGCCTTGAGACCAGTATTTTCAGCTATGCTTTTGAACATTTTGCTCTTCTCCCCCACCTCCTCAGCCCCTCATTTTTTCCCCTACCATCCATCCAGCTTAGGCTCCTATTCACCTTGAGTTCCCATTCTGCTGTGTGGAAACATCTTCCCAATGTGAACAGTATTGTATAAATATTTTCCAATGTGACTGGTGCTGTAAAATGTAAATTAATTAAATAGGTACTGCAAATTATTATGGTTGTGTTGGAGGTTCCACAATCAAATAAGCATGCATAGGACAAAGCAGAGTTTCCATGACTCCAATCTGTAGGCATTGAGCAGAAAGCCAATAAGTACCCAAATTTGATGAGGTTAATAGTGGTGTTATTGTCAGCCTCTGCGACTGAACCACACTCATCCTGCTTCCGCATCCCCTAAAATATGCATTAAACCCCTAACATAATCTACACTTAGCAGTTTCACAATTTCTTATGCAATTTTTGCTGGACACTTCATGAAGGAATAGGTACTCCCATCATACTGTCAAAAAAAAGCTTGAAATGTAGGAGGATTCAGAGTAATCCAATTTCCTCTTTGGAGAAAAATCTAATTTCTGCTCTTTAACTTAAGAACCTTAACTCGAGTTCCTCTAAAAACATATCAAATGTATTGTTTTACAGAATTAAAAGAGAGCAAATTCTGCATTTTTTGGTCTTAAATTTGTCTTCTTTGCTAAAGATGGTGGAAAATTCAAAGGAAGGATGACAGCATGCAGAATTTCCTGGCCGTTTGTTTATTCTTTTAAGAATGACCTCCTCCCACCCAGTCAAACCCCACCAGAGATGATGTAATTAATTCTCCAAATGCGAACAATAAACAACAACAACTTTGATTTATATAGCGCCCTCCACACCGGATAGCATCTCAGAGTGCTTCACAGTAACGGATCCCGGGACCGAGCCGGGGGAGGGGGAGGAAGGTGACCAAAAGCGCGGTCGAAAAGAAAGGACTTCAGCAAAGACCTGAAAATAGGAAGGGAGGGAGCGAAACGAAAGCAGTGAGGAAGGCAGTTCCAGAGCCTCGGGGCATAGTGGCTGAAGGCATGGCCGCCGAGGGTAGAGCGGAGGACTCGGGGGAGGCCAGACCCGGAGGAACGAAGGCAACGGATACTGTTTTGAAGAGAGGCGGTCAGAGAGGTAGTGGGGTGCAGAGGAGTGCAGGGACTTGAGGGTGGGGATCTTGAAGTTGATCCTCTCTGGGATAGGCAGCCAGTGCAGTCTGGCAAGGACTGGGGTGATCGGGGAGTGGAGTTTCATGGGGGTAAGGATGCTAGTGGCAGAGTTTTGAATAATTTGGATTTTATGGATGGTAGTGAATGGGAGACCGGCGAGGAGGGCGTTAGAGTAGTCCATCCGAGAGATGACAAAGGCATGGACCAGGGTTTCAGCGGCTTTTGGGGAGAGGTATTGGCGGAGACGGGCGATGTGTCAGAGGTGGAAGAAAGCGGTGCTGGTGAGGGACCGGATGTGGGGGAGGAAGGATAAATGGGGGTCAGACCTGACGCCTAGGTTTCGTACAGGTTCGGAGAGTTTTAGGAGGTCGGGTAGGTGAAGAAGGTGAGAGCCGTGAGATTTTAGACATTAATGAGAGCCAAAGAGTATGGCTTCCGTCTTGTCAACGTTCAGCTGAAGGTAATTTGCACTCATCCAGCCCCTGAGGTCTGACAGGCAGGCTGACAGAACATCGGGGGACTGGGGGTCGCAAAGAGAGGTGGGAAAATAGAGTTGGGTGTCGTCTGCATACATGTGGAAGTGTACCCCATGTCTGCGGATCACATCCCCAAGAGGGAGCATATAGATCAGAAAGAGGAGGGGGCCAAGGATTGATCCTTGGGGTACCCCGCAGGTGACCAGGTGAGAGCGGGAGGAGAAGCCGTTTGTGCAGATATACTGCTGGCGGTTTGTGAGGTAGGACTTGAACCAGGCGAGTCCGGTCCCACTGAGTTGGATGATGGAGGAAAGGCGGTGGAGGAGGATGGCGTGATCAACTGTGTCGAATGCGGCAGAGAGGTCCAGGAGCACAAGGAGACAACAACAACAACAAGATTTCATTTATAGAGCGCCTTTCACGTCGGGAGGACGTCCCAAGGCGCTGGATAGTTGGGTCGGGACCCGAGCAGGGGGAAAATGGTCAGGGTGAGGGGAGGGAAGGGAGGGAGCGAGGAGGGGTTAGAGAGTCGAGTGGGAAGCTGAAGGCACGGTCGAAGAGAAAGGTCTTGAGACCGGCCTTGAAGGAGGAATGGGAGGAAGCGGCGAAGGCACTGGGGAATGGAGTTCCAGAGCCTAGGGGTTGAGAGGCTGAAGGCCCGGCCACCGATGGTAGGGCGGTTGGGGCGGGGGATGTGGAACAGACCGGAGCCAGAGGAACGGAGGGTACTGGCAGCTAAGTAGGGGGATAGTAGGTCAGAGAGGTAGGAGGGAGCAAGGACGTGAATGGCCTTGTAGGTGAGGATGAGGATAGGCAGAGGGAGCCCTGGTCACAGATGGAGAGGATGACATTTGTGACTTTAGAAGGAAAAGACTTGCGAAGGAAAAGAAACATTTTAAATGTGTGTATTCTGCTCTGCCACCTCACAAAGGATTGAAGCAAAGCTATTGATGCACTAGTTCTGTTCTTTTGAACAAATAATGCCCAATGATTTGCAATAGCCAAGAGTGGAACAGGAATAAAAAATATTCAATCCAGAGCATTCAGGAAGAGACTGCAATCAAGTTAGCCCAGCATTAATTATTAATTTACTGGTTGACTTACATCAAATAATTTTGTCAAAAATCTGGGGTACTTCTTTCACTTTATTGTACTGTGGGTTTCAGTAGTGTATTATCTGGGAAATTACCTTTGGTAATTATATTTATTTATGCGTCCTATTACCCTCAGAGCGAGCACAGGAAAATAAATATTGGAAAGGAAAGCAACAAATAAAATATGCCGCAGAATTTCAATACATAAATATATAAATTAAACATTAAATGATCACCACACTCTTTCTCTTCTCCCACTCCCCCCCCCCCCCCCACCAATATTTGGGATGTAAAATTACTGTTTAGCTGATTTGTATATTTTTTCCTTTCTCAATAATCCCTGAATTGAGTAAAAGTGCTTTTCATGTTGGAAGAACATGTCAAAAGTGCTTCAGAATATTTACTGTTCGACCCTGAGCTGTCCTTTCTACCTCATATCCGCGCCACAACTGGCACCGCCTTCCATCACCTCCGGAACATCGCCAGACTACGGCACTACCTCACCCCTCACGCTGCGGAAACTCTGGTCCACGCCTTTATCACCTCAAGTCTGGACTATGGGAACTCTCCCTTCGCCGGCCTTCCCGGCACCTCCCTCCACAAGCTACAGGTCATTCAGAACTCTGCAGCTCGTGTACTGTCCCGCACCAGGCTTCACGACCACATCACTCCCACCCTCGCTCGCCTCCATTGGATTCCCATCCCCCATCAAGATCCTCACCCTCACCTACAAGACCATTCACGGCCTTGCTCCCTCCTACCTCTCTGACCTACTATCCCCCTACTTACCTGCCCCTACCCTCCGTTCCTCTGGCTCCGGTCTGCTCCACATCCCCCGCCCCAACCGCCCTACCATCCGTGGCCGGGCCTTCAGCCTCTCAGCCCCTAAGCTCTAGAACTCCATCCCTCAGTGCCTTCGCCTTGCTTCCTCCCTTTCCTCCTTCAAGACCAGTCTCAAGACCTTTCTCTTTGACCGTGCCTTCAGCTCCCCTCTCGACTCTCTACCCCCTCCTCGCTCCCTCCCTTCCCTCCCCTCACCCTGACCATGTCCCCCTTGCTCGGGTCCTGATCCAACTGTACAGCGCCTTGGGACGTCCTCCCAACGTGAAAGGCGCTCTATAAATGGAATCTTGTTGTTGTTGTATTGTAAAGTGGAGTGACAGTGCATTATACTTTTATGCAATTTTCTTTCTTTGTAAATTATTGTTCACCATCAATCTGATGGTGTAGCCAGAGAATGAGAATAATTGTTTCCTTACCCCGAAAAAACTCTTATTTTAAGTTGATTGGTTGTGTTCCTTTGTAGCCACTGGTCCTTTTAATGTCCATGCATTCTCCAAATGTGTT